CCCAAAACCCTATTTAGGGTTTAGGGGCCGGTTCGCATTTCAGTTGCCGCAAAGGCACCAGCATCAGCCGCATCAGCCCGTTAATGTTTCGTTTATGACCACGGGGGCCCAAGCCTCATGCGCATCATCGCTTATGTTTCCGACGTTAGCCGCCGAGGCGCCAGCATCATCTGCATCAGCCGGTTTGTGCTTTAACACGTTGCCGCAGCGGCGCCAGCATCATGTGCATCAGCCGGTTTATGTTTCAAATTATCGCAGCCGGCTTGCGTTTCAGTTTTTGCTGCGGGCCGCCAGCATCATGTGCATCATCCGTCTTGCCTTTCATAGGTGGCCGCGGAGACACCAGCATCATCCGCATCAGCCGTCTCACCTTTCAGAATTTGGCTGGGAGCGACCGGCACGATCCGCATCAGTCGGTTTGCGTTGAAGGCATGGCCGCAGAGGCACCAGCATCACTTGCATCAGCCGGCTTCTGTTTCAAACATGGCCGCCGGAGGCAGTAGTCTCATCTGCAGTAACCGGAGCAAGCCGCTTTTCAACAAAAGCAAAAGATTTGTCAGGACAGCGGAAAAACGAACCACTCGTGCCCGCTTTGCCAGTCAAGCGAGCATCATCACTGACCCTAACCCTCCAGGTACCTACTATATAGGGCCCTAGGGGCTCTAGAAGGTACCTGGGGGGTTAGGGATCATCATTGACATTAGCGGCACTGCGTCTTCTCACGATGCTCGGGCAACATCCCCTAAGGGTCCATGTACCCAAATAGTATATACATTGGCCTTAATGTAGTCCCTATATAGGTACTTTAGGGCCAATGTATATACTATCTGGGTACATGGACCCTCTGGGATCAGCCTGGATCTGAGTCGTAGGTACGTCGCGCCAGCATCATTGGCATGAGCTGTCGCAGCAGTGGCAGCCCAGCTCTGCACGGCATCATTGGCGTCAGCCGGGCTGCCCACCAGGATCGTCAGCAATCAGCACTAAGTGTGCGCCAGCCCGGAACATCTCAGAAGGTTGAGCATGGGCTCGTCCGTAGGACACAACCAGCCGAGGCCAAGCGCCCAAAAGCATCATGACCATGATCGGCCAAGTACGGTATGCTGCAGGACATTGGCCTTCACAGCTGTCACCGAATTGCTGCACACGTGGGTAATACGACAACACGGTCAAAATCAAGAGATTCCCCTACCCGCCCCGGTACCCTACTATATAGGGTACTAGAGCCCCTAGAGCCCTATATAGTAGGTACCTGGAGGGTTAGGGTTCATAATTGCCTTCGAGACCAGACTGACATGCGTCAGATCTTCGAAACATGGGACCAGAACCTGGCTTCCGGGTTTATGTAGGGTTTAGGGTATTCGAAACATAGGACCCAAACCTTGGTTCAGGGTTTATGTAGGGTTTAGGGTATTCGAAACATAGGACCCAAAGCTGGGTTCAGGGTTCCTATAGGGTTTAGGGTACCTAAACCTCGACTCTTCATGGCCTGTTTTTTTTCCGCCGCGCTGGCAGAGGCAACGGTCAGAGACCTCGGCGTGTCCATGGACGCTGCCGAGGAGGCAGTGAAGCGTCCACCGATGCAGCTCTAGGAATTCAGGTTCAGGGTTAAGGATTGGCTGGTGCTTTCACAGTGATATAAACATCCCTAACCCCCCAGGTACCTACTATATAGGGTACTGGAGCCCCTAGGGCCCTATATAGTAGATACCTGGGAGGTTTGGGAATTACATGCTTGGACTGTTTTGGAAGTTCAATCCCAGAGGGTCCATGTGCCCAACTAGTATATACATTAGCCTTAATGTAGTCCCTATATAGGTACTTTAGGGCCAATGTATATACTATTTGGGTACATGGACCCTCTGGGTCAATTACACGTGGATCTTCAAGCATTTACAGCCAAGTCTGGGCCTGTCGACTGCAGTCTCCAGGAAGTCTTTGGTCAATCACCTTTGACTCCTATGGGTTCAGGGTTTAGGGTTTAGGGTAAAGCTCTAAAAAAAAACTCCTCAACTGCAAAGTCTTGCGGGGTTTGAGTTATGTGGCCCTACAGGCCTTTTTGTTTTGCAGTGTGTGGGGGGGTTGCATACCCGGCCAGTGTCCTGGCCCTGACCCTGTATCCGTCTTCTAAAAAAGTGGTTTCAACAGTGTAGAGTGTAGAGATTGGTTATCTACCTATAGTCTCCATGTACTACTTCTTTTGTTTGGGTAACTTTTTCCTATCCTAAATACAGATTGTGTTAGGTCACAAGCTCAGAGAGACCAGTGTCCCACCAGACGGTTCTACCCTTGTCAGAGCACCCCCTGGTTTAGCGTTTAGGGTTTGGAGTTTAGGGTTTATGTTATGGCAGTTTTGATGCAAGTCTCAACCATTAAACCAGGCTGCACTAAACTCTGGACTCGTATAATTAGCTAGCTTCGGCTCCGAGGCAATGCAGCCATGCCGTGCTGTGCCTTTGGTAACTCGAGTCAGATACTGTGCCGAGACGATATCCAATGCAACAAAAGCAGGGAACTATAGATTCACGACCGGAATTAGCTGCTGGATCCGTAAGAAGACGGTCTGTTTGAAATGAGATCGTCACCTGAAAGATAGCTACGGCAGCTACAGATTGGGTTCAGCTTCAAGAGAGCCCCGACAGGTCCCGAATGCCCCAAGACCTATGCCGCATTACCCCGGCAGCCCCTCTCCGATAACAAGCAGCGAAGGAATGACTTCAGACCATAGGTCATTCGTGTCCGGGTTTGGGGCTTTGGCTTAAGTCTAGCAGTCTCACAGTAGGATTTATGGCTTGGGCCGCTTCTTCAACAAAACGGATGTCCCGCTGCGAAATGTTCCTACCGACGAACCCGCACAGGTCGTGGCGTACAGTGGCGGAGGTATCGGCGACTGTGGAGGCGCGAGTTGGAGACTGGCCCTGAAGAAAGGCTTCTCGAGACTCTATCCCAAATTTGCATAGTCGGAAATAGTTTCAAAATAAAGAGTCGAAGCATTGATGATACACATATCTAAGCGCAGCAGTTTGTAAGGGTGAACAACCAAACAATACCCTGGACTCAAGACTCGAATCCCTAGTCATGTAATCCGCTACAGTCTCATCCGAAGAAGCTCTATGATCTAAATCCTAAACACTAAAGCCCTAAACCCTAGAGCGCCAAAGCCCTGAAGGCCTTAAAGCCCTAAAGCCTAAATCCCTAAACCCTAAACCCCAAACCCTAAAGCCCCAAGTTCTAAACCCCAAACCCAAAGCATTAAAGCCCTAAACCCTAAACCCCAAACATTGCCCTATACCGTCCCGAGAGACCCAAGCGTCCCTTGCCATTTGGTTGTTGCAGGGGGGCCCTTCCGAATGCTCTTCGGTGATGAGACGTCGCAAGCTCAGTTTAGGTTCCAGGGTTTTTCAGTTTTTGGGTCTAGAGACGCCGGAAGTTCAGTTTTGGGGGTTTATGGTTTGGAGACGTCGGAAGCTCAGTTTAGGGTTTGGGGTTTAGGGTTTAGAGACGTCGGAAGCCCAGAGTAAGGCAATTAACGTGGGAAACACAGGGTTTTGGCTCAAGAGTTTCGGGTCGGGCGGGGGTCTAAAACCCCATGTAAGAGCCTCCAGCACAAGGTCCCGCGTTCCACAGGCTTGAGTTCTGCTGGGGCTTGACAGAGAGGAGAGCGGTCATGGGTTTCTGGGCGAAGGGCGTGGATAGGCTCACCTTGAGGGTGGTGGTTGCATTGGTTTTGACATCTCTCAATCCAATATCTTTGCATCCTGCCCATTATCAACGGACAGGGATCTTATACACAAACGTGGTTTGACAACGGTGCTGGAACCCCAAACCCTAAACCCTAAACTCCATACCTTCCCTAAACCCTAAACTCCATACCTTCCCTAAACCCTAAACGCCATACCTTGCACCAGAAAGACCCGAAGCCTTCGGCTCAGTTTCGGAGAGGCCGAACAGCTGCAGCTCTACATCTCCGAGCCTCTTAAGAATTTAGGGTTTAGGGTTCTAGGGGTTTAGGGGTTTGGGGTTTTGGGTTTTGGGTTTAGGGATTAGGGTTTAGGGTTAATCTCCCTCTCTGAAACCCTACCTGGAAACCACAGAACCTACCCTTTGGGGGGCCTCCTTAATTACTATGATTTCCTTCCATAAGCCCCCCAAAAAGGCAGGCTATTTAGGCCCCAGACAATCCTTAAACACCATAAACGACTAAATCGAATCTTACAACCCGCACATCCTAACAGGTTGGCAGCTGCTGCCGCGGCAATCCTCAAGGTGATTTCAGCTAGAGTTCACGTAAGGTTTACGGTTTAGGGTTTGGGGGTTTAGGGTTCAGGGTTTAGGGTTAACGGTTTAGGNNGGTTTAGGGTTTAGGGCCTAGTAACTTAAAGTGTTTTAACATGTTGTCGGGTGAGAACAGCAGCCTAGTTTAGATAAGTAAGAACAGGGGCATCTAGGGAATCTAGGGAATCTGTGTCTTTGTGTATGTGGTATGCATTTGTTCGGTGTAATCATGTGGGGTGCCACATGGGTTCCGGGCTATTTACAGCAGGATAACTTTGACCATTTTCCCCTCAACCCTAAAACCTAAACCCT